CATCACCATCACCATCACCATCATCGGCATCATCGGCATCACCGCCATCACCATCACCATCACCATCATCGGCATCATAATCATCGGCATCATCGCCATCACCATGGCGTGCCTCGCCCAACCTGATCCCTAAAACCCACTGCAAGTCCCTGGACCTCTCAACTTTAACCAGGCAGCGGAAGGCCCATCCAAGCTCAAAAGCACCAAAACCATGGGGCCACGTTCGCTGGCAGAAGCAGCGAGGCCACACGAAGGGGTTCCTGCTTTACGGCTTGGCGTTCAGGGTCACTTTGGAGTTTGTGTTCGGGAGTTGGTGGTCGGGGGGGAAGGGTGAGACTCGAAGCATCTCGGAATTTGAGGGAAGGCGTGCTGTGACAGTTGTGTGGCTTTTCGTCGTCGACCACAGGATTGGATCTCCAAGGTTTTGTGCACTCAGGGCAGTTTGGACTCAACGGACTGGAACAACACAGGTTCAGAAGCATCCGAACAGCCGCTCATGCAGATTGAAGACTGACTGACAACGAAGCAGCCAGAAAGCGACCAAGCAAGTCCAAGCACAACCAGTAGTAGCAGCACAAACAAGCAGGCATGCATGATTTTGGATGCGTTAACTTCACCCGTTCCATGAGGTTGAGGCTAGCTATCCTTGAGTGTCGTGCTGGGGAGTCGTTTGTAACCAGAGGTTCAAGACAAAACCATGAGCAGGCGTACTCATACAAAAACTGACACTAAGGGTAGTACTGCAGCGGTCCAGCCTTGTTCATGAGACCGATGATGCAGGCATAGGTGCATAGGCAAGGTAGCAATATATGTAAAATTAGCCAAATACTTTTAAGTCACAGATAGTGACAACACGAGCATGCAGAAGCAGTATTGCACTCCCCCTTCTCTCTCCCACTCTCTCAGGAAGGCGGTGGCGGCCGCTGATGCCGAGGACGGTCACGGATGCTCGAGCCCACCATTTTCAGGGCAGGGTTTGGAAGATTCATGGTGAAGGGCGTGGAGTTTTCATGTAGTTCTGGGTCGGGGCTAATGGTTTCCAATAGTTCAGCAGTTGGGAAGTCGGGTTGCGATTGGTTGAGGCCTTGTTAACATGTAAATGTAAACTTTGGCTTCTCTCAAATCTCAAACTTCAGGTCCCAACCAGAACTACCGAGTGTTAATCCGCACGACAGAGAAAGAGAGTCGATCCTGAAAGCCTCAATTACCCTATTCTGAACCGCAGGAAGAGGAACGTGCAAAGAGCTCGCGAACACGGACGCCTCTCAAAGCCGTGGTGGACTTTGCCCGGACCCCAGATCGGGAAGATCAGAGCTGAGGTGGGGCGGAGTTCGACTTGCGAGACTTCATGATTTGGATATGGGAGTTTCCGACAATAGGGGACCCTAATATAGTACCCTAAATAATAGGATCCTTATTATAAGGACCCCAAAATAAGGTACCCCTATTTTCGGAGACCCCCATATCTGGTTCTGGCTGCGGAGCGGATTGATAGGATGGGTGTGACGGAAGCTTTCTGCTTCGTCCCTGGTGTGCTTCAGGCAGGCGTCGCCAATGCTGCAGCTAGTGCTGCACGCAAGGCTCGTCGACGGATGACGATAGCGAGGCGCTCGCGGGGTCTGTGGAGACTAGAGGACAACGCAGGTTTTTTCGACGAGGCACTACAGACTGCGTCACAGGCACACAAATCGCTTGCGGCTAAAGCTGACTTCCCTTTGCATGTACACAGGGCTAGTCTGTCTACGCGTGCTTGCGAAGTTAAAGTTCTGCGAGTTGATCCTTCAATGTGAGGCTCTCTGAGGTTTTCTGCCGTAGTATTCTATATGATATGAAGGGAATGCCATACTATGTTATGTTCGACACCCTCTAAGCTGTGGACTTTGCAGGGCGGTTGCGTAATTTCTAGCGAACTTCCGGGGTCATCTGTGAATAGGGCTTCATGGCTACACTAAACTAAACCGCCCAAAATCCCGAAGCCCCAAGCCCCAAACGATCCCTATACCCAATCTGGAGTCTTTCAGGGCAGAGTCAGGATTTCAGTAAAGTTGAAGGTATGATAATATAGACGCCTGAATAAATAGTAACGCTATGTTGGAGGTCCTTATTGTAGTTACAGAAAATATACCCCCCCAAATCCTATTCTAATTATGACAGACCCTACATTAGTCGGATTTTGTGTTCCCCTGTAAGTCTATAATAAGTGCTGGACATGAAACCTTAGTTAGACGTCCCATGAAGGAGATATGATGCCCAAGGCAAGGTACCCGATACGGAGTATATCCTGAATTCATCAGAGAAACTCTTAGAGTCTTTGAAGAGCACTATCTGAGCCTAAACGCTAAACCCTAAACCCTAAACCCTAAACCCTCAACCTGCTCCTTGGGATTTGGGATGCCCGTCGGGCTGAAGGAAAGAGACCACGGCTACGCCAGCTGAAGCAGAGGAGGAGCGACAGGCGAGTTTCAATTTTTTCGGGGCAGCCCCCGCCACTTTTCTGTTATGATTCTAGGCTTATAGGTATTATATACTGTACCCCAAGACCCCAGTCTCATTTGTTTCGGCCCTTACTTTTCCAGTGCTATGAGTGTAGCTATGCTGTTTTCAGACATCTTGATGGCTGTAGGTATCCCCTGAACTCTGCCCCTATAGCCCCCAAAGCCCCTAAACCCCTAAGCCCCTAAGCCCCTAAACCCCTAAAACCTGAAAACCCACTATTGCCTGCACCAACTTCAAAATCTCAGCGGCGCGCCTTCAGCTGGCAATTCCGTGCAACGAAGGAAGAGCCCAAGGCCTCCCTAGGGTTTAGGGGCTTTTTGGGGTTTAGGGTTGTCCCATTAGGTGGCAGGAAGGCTTCAAATTCATGCGTTGCTCGAGGAAACACATGTCGGCAGAGAAGCCCGAGCTTTGCTCCGTACAACAGATGACCATCCCAACGTCCAGACATGATGTGATCCAACCCCTAACTTCACCTCTACGTCCTGATCCCTACACTAACCAAAAACCTAGCCTCAGCCCGAAACCCAACAACCTCCACCGGAATCGGTCCAGGAGAAGCCTCCCCCTGCACCCAGAGATCTGGAGTTGATTCGGACCGCTGCAGTGAGCTCTTGGTTGTTTCTGTTTCGGGATCGTTACCTTGGCTTCGGGCAAGTTCGGTTGTGGAAAACTTCAAGCGATGATTTCCGGTAACCCCCCCCCCCCCGCCCCTCAAAACGTAGCCATCATGGTCATCAGCCATCCTACCCGCGGCTGGTAGTTTCAT